CTATAGAACTTTGGTACAATATTTTAATTATAAAAATGGTACCTATTCAACAGGTACATTTTAGGAAGTAGAGGAAAATATAAAGAAAAATTTCAAGTCACTTCTAATTCCCATTGTCCCTAATTATTATTAACATTTTAGTTTATTATCTTTGAGCCTTTTTTCCCCCCATGTGTATTTCTTTAATATATTTAATATTGTTCTGGGTATAAAAGATTTATTTTCTGCTTTTTTTAACCTAAGATTTTTAACACTTTCCCCCCTAAAACTGTTCAGAAGCACCAATTTAAATATACTTATTTAAATTTACTTACTATTCCTCTTTTGTTGGGCATTTTGGATTTCCGGGTTATAATATTATGAATAATATTAGAGGCCGATGCATGAAATTCATGCAAGAGTAGGCCTTCCTTCTCCCGGCTGCCAGCTCTGGCTTCCCTCTGGCACCTGGGACCTGGGCTTCCTTAGCAACCCTGGCTTTGTCCGAAAGATCTTCTGGTCTAATTAGCATATTACACTTTTGTTATTACAGATTGGGACATAAATATTTGCATTATTTTTTAAGGATAAATTATCAAAAGTGCAGACTCACTGGGTCAAAGATATGAGCAGTGTGCAACTCTTGATGGAAGGCAGAATTGCTTTATGAAGTGATGGTACCCGTCTGAATCCCCATGGCCAGCTGAGCGCCACCCTCTCCACTGCTCAGAGGTTTGATGCTGTGTCCTTGTTATGTGTCGTGCCTACCCTTCCGTGGGATCCTTTCTCTCTTCCGTCTTACGGCACAGTGATGTCTCCTAAACACCCCCACCCCCCGGGCCTTCATCTCAGATTTGGTTGCAGCCTCTTAGCACAGACTGCTGAGTCTCCACAGGGGCATTCAGCTGCTGCTTTGTTATGATCTCTCTGGTCTGACTGCTGCCAGCATCCTTTATGCTCCCCGCGTTTTTATGCTTCCTTCTTCTCTGGCATTTTATCTTCTGATGGTCCGCTTTGTTTATAAGCATTGATTACGATTTCAAAAGTGAACATTCTAGTTTTCATTTCACTAGTGACTTCTAAAACACACATTTTTAACATTTGTAACTCTTTTAAAAAAATTTAATCCTCACCTGAGGGTATGTTTTGTTTTTTTAATATACATTTTATTGATTTTTTTTTTTTTTTTTTTTTTTTTTACAGAGAGAGGGAAGAGAGAAACATTTATGAGAGAGAAACATTGATCAGCTGCCTCCTGCACACCCCCTACTGGGGATGGGCCCACAACCAAGGTACATGTCCTTGACCGGAAATGAACCTGGGACATTTCAGTCCACAGGCCGACACTCCACTGAGCCAAACTGGTTAGGGCAAGGATATGTTTTTATTAATATTAGAGAGCGGGGGAGGGAGGGAGGGAGAGAGAGAGAGAGAGAGAGAGAGAGAGAGAGATATCATGTGAGAGAAACATTAATCAGTTGCCTCCTGTACACGCCCTGACTGGGAATGGAACCCACCACCTAGGTATGTGTCCTCACTGGGAATGGAACCGGCAATCTTTTGGGGTAGAGGGCAGTGCTCCAACTGAGCCACCCAGCCAGGACTCCGATTCTGTCTTTAAACCTCACTGATAACAATACTTCCTGTTTTCTCTTATGGAATTAGGGAGATTTTTGAGATTTCCCGTTGTTCTTCCAGACTTTCACACTTTGTTGACTTAATCAGTGTAATTAAAATGTAATGATTAGTGATTGCTGCTTTTATTTCGTGACTTCTGTGACCTAACTGCTTTATATGGGTGATCACCTTCACCTCCCACCTTCCCTGCTGCTGCATTCTATCTCTGATGCAACCTAGATGGTTCGGGAGAAATTCCTGAGCGTTCTTTGCAAGAAAGGTTCTCATCTGGGCAGGCTTCATAGAGCCGCAGATTTCCGAATTACTCTACAAACGAGGAATTTGTCCATGGGATGCAAAAGTTCCTAGACCTGACCCTTCTCCTCTGGAATATGGAGCGGCCTCTCAGCGGAGACATCAGTTGTGGAGGAGAAATGTGTAAGAGCTGCGTTTCTTCTCCTTGTCTTTGGAATTCCACTTACTGGTCCCTGACCAGACACACCCTCAGTCCCTGGTCTGGGTGCTTCTCACCCACTCACTTCAGCTCGTTTTCCTGTTTGATGACTCTGGCAGCCTTCCTCTTGGCTTACACTTTTTACCACGGATCTGCTTACTCTTTTGTCCAGAGCCCATTGATCACTCACAAGGTTGTGAGTCCCCTTGTCCGCCAGGAAGGATAATCGATCACTGCAATGCATTAGGCTACCAGCAGCTCCCCTACTAGTACTTTCTGCCACAAATTCGTTCGCCGGTGGGGCCTCTCTCCAGCGTGCCAGGTCTAGTGGTCGGCCCAGGATGTCCACCTCCCCACCTCCTTTCAGCCTCCCGGCCCCCCATTCCTCTTCCCCTGCTCCCTGCCTCCATGTCTTCGTCTGTCTCTAGCCCCGTTTGCCAGGGTGCAATTATTGCTAATTAATTCCACGTCAGAGTGATGGATGGTTTCATTTGCTTCCTTGTTTCCCTCGCCGTGCGGAGGAGGCCGGGCAGAGCTCCAGGGCTCCCTGGGGCAGGTGGCTCTGGAAGGTCAGGTCTGCGGAGGCGGCAGGAGGGCAGCGTCAGGGCTTGGGGACCGGCGCCTCGCAGCACTGCATCATTTTGCTTGTTATCGTCCCTGAGTGACCCGCTGAACTGGAGTGCTCTCCCTTCCACACCAATGCCTTAGCAGCCGAAAGAAACGCATCTGGTTCCAGAATGTCTTAGCTGCAGACTCTTAAGCAAAAGTCTCACATTTCAGAGCGAAACTTGCAGAGAACCTTCATTACCCACCTTCTCCCCGATGTCTCTCCTTGAGGCTGTCCTCCTCCCTCAGCTTCCCCCAGACGCCTCTCTCACCCTCCCTCTGAGACAAGGCTTGGGCACCCTCTGTGGGGAGTCAGCTTAAGCTCTCTGGTGCTTTTGATTCTCATCTATCATTTCTGATGAGCAGTGTGCAGGCCCAGGAGCCCAGAGTCCTTCTCAGAGAAGGATGGTGGAGAGGAGGGTGTGAGTTCTCCCCCAATGCTTTATCTCTGTCAACAACAACATGAGGAACAATAGACTAATCACAATCACCACACCATCATGTCACCACAACACCACTGTCACCATTACCATTATCATAACCATCACCCTTACCAGCTGTCACCATCACCACCACCACCATCATATCATCACAACCACCGTCACCACCATATCATTACAACCATCACAACCACCATTATCACCGTCACCACCACCATTATCACAACCATCACCCTCACCACTGTCACTATCACCATTATCATAACCATCACCCTCACCAGCTGTCACCATCACCACCACCACCATCATATCACCACAACCATCATCACCACCATATCATTACAACCATCACCACAACCACCATTGTCACCATCGTCACCACCACCATTATCACAACCATTACCCTCACCACTGTCACTATCACCACCACCATTATCATAACAGTCACCCTCATCAACATTGTCACCACCACCACACCACCATATCACCATACCACCACTGTCACCGTCATCACCATCACAACCATCACCCTCATCACTGTCTTCATCACTCTCAACATCATCATCACCACCATTATCATCAAAACCATCACCACTGTCACTACCATCACCACCACCATTATCACAATTATCACCATCATCACCGCCACCACCACCACCACATCACCACAACCACCGTCACCATTGTCATCACCACCATTGTCACAACCACCACTTTCACCACTGTCACCATCACCCTCAACATCATCACCACCATCATTATCATCACAACCATCACCATCACCACTATCACAACCATCACCCTCACCACTGTCACTATCACACCATCATTATCATAACAGTCACCCTCATCAACATTGTCACCATCACCACCACCATTATATCACCACAACCATCACTGTCACCATCATCACCATCGTCACCATCACCCTCACCATCATCACCAACATAACCACCACCACCATCACTATTATCATCAAAACCATCACCACTGTCATTACTGTCACCACCACCATTATCACAATCATAATCACCACCACCACCACCACATCACCACAACCACCATCACCATTGTCATCACCACCATTATCACAACCACCACCTTCACCACTGTCACCATCACCACCACCACACCACCAGTCACCATCATCAACATCAAATCCATTACTCTCATCACTGTCATCACCACCCTCACCATCATCACCATCATAACCACCACCATCACCACCATTATCATCAAAACCATCACCACTGTCATTACTGTCACCACCACCATTATCACAATCATCACAATCACCACCACCACCACCACCACCATATCACCACAACCACCGTCACCATTGTCATCACCACCATTATCACAACCATCACCTTCACTGCTGTCACCATCACCCTCAACATCATCACCACCATAACCACCACCATTATCATCACAACCATCACCATCACCATTATTACAACCATCACTGTCACCACTGTCACCATCACCCTCACCGTCATCAGCACCACCCTCATATCACCATCTTTACTAACATCACTATCACCACCGCCATCTTTATCATAGCAGCTCCTGTTTATTGAGTATTTGCTTCGTGCTGTGGCCTTGTGCTGAGCATGTTAGGTACATGTTGTCATTTGATCCTCACCATGACCTTGGAAGAAAGCTGCTACAGTGACTGCTGGTATGGCTCTAGAAGTCACAGAGCTGGTAAGAGGTGAAGGCAGGGCTCAAACCTGGCCTGAGTCCATGCCCTGCCTTGATCCAGGAGCTCGATAGCCTCCAAGACACAGAAGGCACTGGAAGGCCAAACACGGACCTCGGAGGCCCCTCCAATTGGGCCAGACCCCACACCCACGTTCCTCCCCCTCCCTTAACCCTAGCTGTCCCTATTCTTCCCTCCACAGGTGTACGAGGGAGGAAGCAACGTGGACCAGTTTGTGACCCGCTTTCTCCTGAAGGAGACGGCCAGTCAGATCCAGTCGCTGCTGAGCTCCGTGGAAAGCGCGGTGGAGGCCATTGAAGAGCAGACCAGCCAGATCCGGTGTGTGCAGGGTCCCTTGCAGGGTCACACGGGGGTGTGCCATGCACATGCCCACTTGCGACTCGGGGTGGGGGTATTTGGGTACTTGAGAGCTGGGTGACTCAGGACAAGCTGCTATACCTCTCCGTGCCTCTATGTCCACGACTGTAATGTGGGGACAATGATATACCCACCTCCTCGGTGCCTGTGAGGACTGAACGAGATGTGTATGCTTAGAGGAACGGCTGGTGTGCGTGCAGTACCTACATATAATACATTCATTACGGCTGTTTCTCAGACTCTCATCCATTTTACCGCGTCCCCACACCACTCACATTATTCTTTGCCCAAGACTATTCTATTGCTTGGCTTACTTTTGAAAACTGGAGGTAAACTTTGGAAACTGTATCTGGTTACCATAATTGGAGAATGTGCCATAAGAATCCTGAGGCTGGCTCCCGCTTTGCCAGCGGCTGGGACACTGTCCAGAGCATGGGGACAGGGTGGCACCAAGTCACCTTCTCAGGAGGATGGAAAGAGAAATGGAGCCATGGTCCCTCGGTGTTATCGGAGTATCATTTAAGCCTTGTTTGCATGTCCTTGAAGCCATGGACAAGCTTCTGGGGTCCCCCCTTTGCTGGGGACACTGTGAGGTGGTTAGCTTAGAGAAGGGGTGTTCTTCTGGCTAGGCAGGGCCAGTTCTGGACCATGAGTCCTTGCATTGACTGTCCAGAATTGAGACAGACTTCTCTTTGCCTGCTGATGTGCCCGGCAAACGGGAAATAAAGGCACGCCAGATGGACACGAGCAAGGGCCAGTGTCTGAGCATTCCTGACCCTTGAATTTTCGTGTGTGGATGCGGGTTTCCTGGGCAGAGGCCTGGCATGGCGGGTGCTGGTTGCTGTGGGGGGTGTAGAGAGTCGGTTGGTGAGGAGCTGGTCCTGGCCAGGTATGATTGCAAAACTGCTCGATAATATGATTCCTGAACTGTGTCTGCTTGGGTCGCCTGCAGCCAGTCACCCGGGAAATGAGACAGGCAGGTCCCCTGCAGCCAGTCACCCTGGAAATGAGACAGGCAGGTCAGGGCCCCGCCGGAATGGGGTCCCTGGGAGCTGAGCCCAGGGCTCTGCATTGTGATCACTCTTGTGCTTCGGAGGGTCCCCAGTTAGCCAGAGCTCTGGGCGCTGACAGAGTTCCTTCGCTTTCTGTCACTCTCCTGATCAAAACTTGCCGTGTCTGTCCTGCTGTGGAACAGATGCGATGGCTGCACTCTGCTCGTTCCATCTCGTCTGCCCCCATCGGGGCCTCACTCTGGAATGTTGGTGGTGAGGAGACGCATCTGTTCCACACACACTCCCACCTTCAGCCCCAAACCTCAGTAGTTCAGCTCCCCCGAGCTGCAAGGCCCTATCCTGCTTCTAGCCCAGGATGCCAGGTTCCCGGCACAAGCTGCTGGCTTAAACCCTGCTGCCCAGGGACTCCCGCCGCCCTGTTCAGGGTCCGAGGGCCACATTGAATTGGCTGCTGGCTGAAGAGCCCCCAGGATCGGACCTCGGAGACTCCTCCAGACTTTCTGGCTCTGCGGGGGGAGAGGGAGGTTGCCGTCTGCAGGGGCTTGTGAGCTTGCAGCTTCAAAGACTGGACCGCCCAGGCAGCGCTGCCCAAGGCCGAAGAGCCGGAACGCGCATGGTGGCCATCCACAGAGAGTGTGCGTGTGCTGTGTGTGGACATGCGTGTCAGTGTGTGTTTGTATGCCCATGGTGAGTTTCCCGGCATCTCTTCGTGCATGGGTGTTCGACCTTTGCTAAGCAGAATAGCATGGTTGGGTCCCTGCTATTGTGCCAGGCACAGAGCTTGGTGAGCTGAGTGTGCCTGTCAGGGCATGCGGGGGCTGGACATGTGTGGGCACGTGTGTGCATGGTGGGGGTGGGACAGGCGGTCAGTCCCTCTCTAGGACCTGTGTTCTGTGATATGCCTCCTCTCAGCCAGATCATAGACTCCCCTTTTCAGAGAGTACAAACCCATCCCCCTTCTCCCTCCCCCCCAACTCACGCGATCTCTCTCTCTCTCTCTCTCTCTCTCTCTCTCTCTCACACACACACACACACACACACACACACACACACACGGCACCACATGGCTCCTACTGAAGCAGGCAGGGGTGGGGAGCTGTGAGCCTCTGGGTGGGAGTGGGGGCCTGGAACTGAACCTCCTGGGCTGAGGCCTAGAACGGGGCTGAATTCCTATCTCGAGTCAGTCCCTCGTTCTGCGTGGCCTTGGCCACCAGTTTCCTCCTGACACAGAAGCACGAGGCCCACGTCCTGGGCCGGGCTCCATGGGGCCAGCTGCGTGTCTCCGCCCACAGGGGGGTGCCTGTGTTTGCCAAAGCAGCCACAGTGCTCCGGGCCCCGAGGCCTCCCTCACCGCGTGTCTCTCCCGCTCGCTCTGCAGCCAGAACCACGGCAAGCCCGGCCCCGGCGTGGTGCAGACCTGGTATGGGAGCCCCACTGCGCCCTGCGTCCCCAGCCACAAGCTCATGGCCGCAGAACGGGAGAGGAGTGTGCCTTCCGGTGAGAGCAGGCGGCAGCCTGGATGGGGGGCATGGGGAGGTCCTGGGAGCTCCCCTCCCCATCCTGCCCTGCCCAACATCGGTGTCCCTGTTCCTCTTCCTCAGTCACCTCAGACGCCAAGGAGGAGGGCCTGGAAGCCCAGATCAGCCGCTTGGCAGAGCTGATAGGACGGCTGGAGAGCAAGGTAAGGCCGCTGGCCCCCACCTCCCTCCCTCCATTCCCCAGACCCCAGGAGGGCCAGGTTAGGCCCGGAGTTTAGGGCAGAAGTCAGGGAGCCTTGGAAAGGCATCTCCCAGTGGAGCATGGAGCCGGAGACTGAGATGAGGACAGCCCCCGGAGCTGTGCCCAATGGGCAGCTCAAGGAGAGGTGCTGGGAGGAGGAGCTGTGGGGCGGGTGGGCACAGGGCAGGCATCACAAGGAGCAGCACCGTGGGCGGAGGGGACGGAGCTTCGAGGGGCTGTGAGGGCCTGAGGGAGGGTGCCGGCCCAGGAGGGAGGAGCAGTCTGAAGGACGAGCTTTCAAAGACGGTATGGCGCGTCCGCAGATAATAGAAAAGACTTGGCCTTGCAGAGCCAGAGACAGTTCATGACTCAGTGGGCACTCACAATGCACTGCACCAGTTTCCCAGGGCTGCCACCATCACGTCCCATACACAGGCTGTGCTCACACATTTATTCTCTCGCAGCTCAAGGCCAGAAGTCTGAGATTGGTGGGTGGGGACGGGGAGGGGAGAGCGGGCAGGGCTGCCTTCTGCTGAGGCCTCTCTCCTTGGCGTGCAGACCGCTGTCTTCTCCCCGGAAGACACATGGTGTCCTCACAGGGTGTCCTCTCTGTGGTTCCTCAATGTCCCGTCTCCTCCTCTCATAAGGACACCAGTCATTCTGGATTGGGGTCCCCCCATTACCTCATTTCTACGTAAATGCCTCTGTGCTGACCCCGTCTCCACACGTAGTCACATTCTGAGGTGCTGGGATTGGTCCTTCCATTTGGGGAAGACACGGTTCAGCCCATGACATTGACCATTCCTTGGGAGAAAGAACATGAATTGCCTTCACGGACTCAGGTATCAGACGGCCCTGTTTGAAGCCCGACCACACCGCTGAGCAGCTGTGTGACCTCGGGCCAGTGGCCTACCTCCCTGAGACTCGGATGTCTCCCCTGACAATACGGAAGAGAACCAGAAGAGCCGCCTCACAGGGCTCTCCTGAGGAGTCAAGATAACCATGTCTTGAATGCCTTAGCACAGAGCCTGCTGAGAAGCTAGTGTGTAACATCAGCAATGCTAGCAACTATTATTAGTCATTTTAGTTCTGGTGCTTAAAACTACAGAGAGGTACACACCACACCCATCTATCTGCATAACCCAATTATCTCAGAGCCCTGGGTTGCAGCCGTTTTACATTTCTCTGACTTTTCTGAATTTCTTACATCTTTTGCAAAAGGGCAAAGAAAAAAAAAAAGTCCTTTGATGGGTTTGGGGGTTGGTTCTGAAGTATCGGTGGGGGCAGGAGGAAGCCTGGAGGAGGAGGGGGCAGAGGGAGGCCTGGGTGGGGGGCGGGGAGTTGGAGGGAAGGGGCAGAACCTCACCCGCAGGGCTGAGGCTTCGGTGGGATCTCCCCCCCTCTTGGAGCGAGCTGCTGGGTGGGAGCCAGCGGTTCCGCGGACCCAGTGGCCCGGTTGTCATAACAACTCCTCCGGCGCCCGGAGAGGGAGGCTCTTTGAAGTTTATTTTTAGCGCCCTGGTCGCCCTAACAACAGGCAGGGGCAGGCTGGAGACCGCTGAGCACCTGGGCGTCCTGCAGGCGGGGCGGGGCCTGCTCGCCGGCCTCTGATTGGCCAGGGCCCCGAGTAGGAGCCAATCCAGAGCCGCCTCCGGGCCCCGCCCTCTATGGGCCAACCAGAGCGACTCCGGGTTCTGCAGGGGCCTGGAGGGTGGGACGCTGGGGCGGCCAGTGTGGGAGAGGGTGGGTCCGATGTGGGTGCCACTGAGCCTCCCTTACGCGCCCCTCTCCTCCTCCTGGGGCCCCGCCAGCTGGGAGAGCCACCAAGCCAGTTCCAGCCCCTGCTCTATGGAGCCCACCTGCAAGGTTGTAAAGCAATGGGAACAGATTAGCCCCTGGCGGACACCTTGGCTGCCCACTAAGCAGGGGTGCACCGCGTGGAAAGTCAGCACCCTCTCCAGGACAGGCGGTGTAACTTACTGGGTCTCGTGCAAAATGAGACCCAGTTAAGAATTTCAAGGCGGTACCTGCACAGGTCACAGGCCACCACATCTGCCAGTCTGTGTCCTCAAACGCCAGCGGTGGGCACACGCGTGCTCTGAGAGAGGAAAGACGCAGGCTGTCCTCCGGGGAGGTGGGGAGGGATAGACAGAGGTGGCGTTCATTGGGGTGCCCACGTTAAAGGGAGGAGAACCAGGATTCTGTGTCAGGAGTTTAGAGGCCCCAAGTTCAAATCTAGGCTCAGCACCTAGTCAGCGTGTGTGGCCTCTGGAGCCCAGGGCTCTCGGCTAAGTAGTGACCACTGAGCATGCCCGAGCATGGGGCCCTGCTCTGGACACTAGCATGCGGCCCTCAGCAGCATGCACGGGTTTCTTCTCTCCTTCCTGGAGCTCACCGTGGGACAGGGAGTCTGGTGAATTTGTAAAGCATTTAGCCCAGGGCTGTGGAGGACAGTGAAAACAGACACTCCACTTAGACCATTCCATTCGAGGGGCATCAGGGGTTAAGATTGGGGGTAATTTGTAAATAGATGGGGAATCTCGGGACTGTTGCCAGCAATTATGGCAAAAGCCTGGCATCTTGGATTCGAGAATCTTGAGTCCCATTGCTCTCTCCCCCAAGACACCTCCCCCTCCCACCTCCTACCCTGAGCCGGAAAATGGAGTCTCCTTCGTGGCTTTTGCAGTAGATCTGCTTGGTCGCTGTGGCTCCCAGTGCACCCAGATGCCAAGGCCAGAAGGGATCTCCCCCACCTCCTGTGATTGGCCCCCCAGCCTGGCCTCCTGGGTCCTCTCTGAGCCAGCACTGTGCACGGAGGGCGGAGTGAGCCCTGTCCTGTGAGGCCTGGCCCCAGGAAGCTCTCACTCGCCTGGGGACTCGAGCCCCCGGGACCTTGGTGTGGAGGGGCTGGAGCTGTGTGGGTGGCCCCGGGTGCTCCGGTATGATGGTGGAGATCCTGGAGGCCTCCCTGATGGAGGTGGCCTTTGTTTCCAGCATCACTTTATGCTTTGTTGTTTCAGACCCTCTGGTTTGACCTGCAGCAGCGCCTCTCAGATGAAGAAGGCACTAACATGGTGAGGACCCCCTCCCCTGAGTCCTCCCTCCCCCTCCTGTGGCCCAATCCCTGCCCGAACCCAGCATTCAGGACACAAGCAGCTCAAAGGCCCTGCCACCCCCTCCCCAGGGAGTACATGTGGGGCGATGTGGCCCAGCACTTGGTCACCCTCCCCTTCCATGGGTGTCATTTGAGAGACCAGGGCTTTGGTAAAAAAGCTTGGCCTGGAACCTCATGGTCAACAGGACAGTGCATCCAAACACTGGTTTGATTGAAATGAATGTTGCTGGTCACTGGTTGGTTGTGTCTCAGCCCTGGATCCTTGCAGGCAGCCCTGAGCCTCCGTAGAGCCTCCTGACACACCCTGCCTGCTTTTCGGCATTTGTGGGTCTGCTTCCCGCATTCGGCTTTTTAGAATTCTTATTCCTTTTCAGCCAGTGGTCACGTATAAGAATAGAAAGCATGTGTGCATAGGTTTTTGTTTTATTTTGACCCAACTGTCCTGTCCCCTCAGGAAGGAGGTGTGGGGAGGCTGGGGCCCTGCGGGGAGAGGGCTGTGAGGGAGCCCGAGGAAGCTCACTCTGCACCCTGCACCCCACAGCACCTGCAGCTGGTCCGGCAGGAGATGGCCGTGTGCCCTGAGCAGCTCGGCGACTTCCTGGACTCGCTGCGGCAGTACCTGCGGGGCACCGCGGGAGCCAGGAGCTGCTTCCAGTGAGTACGCGGGGGAGGGGGGGAGGGGGGGCGGGACCTAAGAGGACAACCCATACCCCCAACCCATACCCCCGGGAAGGCCTAGCAGGGTGGTTAGGAGAGCGGGCCAAATCCTAGCGGAGGCTCTTCCCATTGTGCAAACGTGGCGAGTGACTTCCCCTCCCAGGCCTCAGCCTACGCATCTGTAGAATGGGACCATTGGACCCACTCGCTGTGGCTGTTGGAGGTGTAAATGGAAATAGGGATGGGAAGGGCTTAGGCCAGAGCCTGGTGAGCAGTTGGAGCTTTGTAACGTCAGCAGCTCCTCTTACTCTGTGGCCGCCCCTGAAGGTCTCTCCCTCTGTCCCTGCCGCTGAGGCCTGCATTGCTTCTCAGCAAAGCTGAACCTGGTGGCCGTGGCCAATCAGATTGGGCCACAAAAGACGACAGCCCTCACCCTCCCTGCGGGTGGTCCCAGAGGGCTGTTGGCACAAGTCGCTGGGCCCTCTCCTGTCCCAGGCCCACCCACCTGTGCCCAGGAAGTAGCCGTGGCCTCTGTGCCAGTCTCTGCCCCAACCCTCCCTGTCCAGTTTGCCTTCTGCACCCTCTCCCTGGGGGGCCAGCTGGGGTGCAGCGTGAAGCAGGCGCTGCTCTTACTGAGCATGTAATCTAGGTGCGGGAGAGGGCAGAGGAAGAGGGATGGTGCTGGAGGTGATGGGTGTGCGGAGGCCAGGAAGCAGGATCCTTCCAGAGAAGGAAGGGGCTTGGGGAGGGGAGAGTCTGTGTGTGCACCGAGGCCTGTGTATGGAGCATCCGGACAGCGGAGTCTGAGGAAGGGCAGTGTGGGCTGGAGCCAGCCGGTGCCACTGCCTGGGAGGCAGCAAGGTGCCATGTTTGAGAACAGGCAGGTACGTCTGCACGAGGTGACAGGGCGGGGCCCGGGGTGGTGGGCAGGACGCACTCGTCTGGAGTACAGTGGACCGTGTTGGAGATGTGCAAGCAGGAGAGAGACACGGGCTGGCCTCTTGTGTGCAGCAGGGGCCCGGGAGGGGCCCTGCGGTCACCCAGGGAGGGGCATGGCCTTGGGTAGAGCTGGGAGCTGTTCTGGAGAACAGGGAGGGGTGTGGGGCGGAGACGAGGCGGCCTCTGAGGTTGTCTGGCTTCAGAAACCTGAGAGAGGTTGGAGTCGTGTGATGACCTAGAGGAGGCAGGGAGGTCAGGCCTGCTGGGGGGGAGGGGAGTCGGATTAAATTCGAGATGCCGCGTAGGAGTGTGGAGAGCCTGGGAGAGGGCGGGCTGGGAGTGGTGGGCGTCCAGATGGCACCGGAAGCCACAGTAGGGGTGTGCTCACAGCAGGGGTAGGGGGAGGTGTCAAAGGGCCAGGGCTGGGCGGGGTGGAGCGGAGAGGGGCCTAGCTGCCCCTCCTCTGCACACAGGCAGCACACAGTAGGGCTTCACACTCTGTCCTTCCTGTCCCCCCATGCCAGCCTGCTGTGTTTTCCTGCCCATTCAGACACCCCACCCCCAAAACCCAATCAGTACCTCATTCCGCCGCAGCTACAGACTTGGACGCACCAGGCTGCTCTGGTGACCTTCATCTGTCGCAGAGGCGGGCCCGTAAGCAGCGCTTTCTGGCTCTGGCGGAAGGCCACGGCTACCTCTCATCAGTGGGCTGCACGGTCCCCGGCCCCCTGGCTCTCATCCCATTACCAGCCCGCGGGCACCTGTAATTTTAGCCGGAGCCTAATGAACTAATGATACTGTTAGCAGCCTGGTTTCCCTCCCCGCGCCTGTCCTGGTGGCGAACCTGGGATTGCCTGTAATTACACAGCAGCCGCCACCATGACAGCCCTCCTTGAGGGCGGTTCTGCTGAGTGTGGGGGCGGGCAGGAGGCCAGCGGGGCGGTGCTGGCGCTGATGTAAGCGTGGCGGTCGGCCCTCCGAGCCCCCAGCTCTGCCGCATTCTGGGAAGCACCCCAGTCCTAGGTAAATCAAGGTGAGGGGGGCTGCTGCCCTCACAGGGATAACACAGGAGTGACCTGGGCCTGCCCCAGCCTCAGTTGGCCAATTCTTACGCACAGGGTTAAGGACTGAATGAAGGAGATGATGAAGGAGAGCATGACAGGAGAGAATATTCAGCCTTTAAAATGACATCTCATTGTAATTCATTCAGCCAACAGGATCTGGCCACTGCCTGGGGCCAGGCCTTGCTCTGGTGGTGGGACAGGTGCTGGCCCGCAGGCACTGAGTTCCCATCAGAAAGGCAGGAGCACTGTGGCTCACGGCCTCGGGCGGGGGGCACACTGCCAGGCTCTCATTTCCAGGGTCTGAGGGTATCCCGCAGCCAGGCTGTGGGGGTGAGGGGTGAGGGAACCGAGTTCCGGAGGCGAGCAGCCCAGGCTTTCTGCCTCCAGCCCCTTCTCTCCCCTCGCAGCATCGCCGCTGGGAGGCTGTCGGATGGCTTCACCTTTGTGGTGTACGAGTTCTGGGAGACGGAGGAGGAGTGGAAGAGGTGAGCACACAGGTCCACTAGCCCCTTTCCTCATCCCAGACAGTGTGGAGGGGAGGGTGATGTGAGCCCCGTCCCAGCGGCACCCAGCGGCACCCCGCACGCTGGCCTCGCCTCGCGGGCTTCCTGAGCCCTGGAGCCAGTGGGAGGCAGCATTTCTCAGTGTGGGCTGTGACCCCCGCAGCGGGGTTCTGAATGCAGGTCCCTGGCCCTGGGCTCTGAGGCCCCACGGCCACTCCTGTTTGAAAGCTGCTGCCCTCGGGGCTAAAAACCCAGGGACGCGATCTCATTAACGATGCTCACTGAGGCAAGAAACAGGCTCCTCTCCCTCCCAAACCCGCCCCTCACAGATCAGCCTTCCTGGGGCCTCGCCTCCTTATCTTCACATGATGGCTCACCCCCGAGGCTAAGCCCACGTCAGGTGGTTGGGCCCCCAGCCTCCAGGGCTCACAGTGCCCCGTGGGTTACAGGCACCTGCAGAGCCCCGTGTGCAAGGCGTTCCGGCACGTCAAGGTGGACACGCTGAGCCAGCCGGAGGCCCTCTCCCGGATCTCGGTGCCAGGTAGAGGGCAGGTGGGGGAGGCCTGGGATAGCACGGGGGGTGCCCCTGTGCCCACAGGAGCAGCAGTCTCTGCCAGCCACTGAGGGCCGCGTTAAGGGCAAAGCCCAAATCTTCCAATGACCCTTTATTCTGCCCCCTTAGCTGCCAGGAGTTTTAGTCCACAAATGGGTGCTCAGCATCAGTGCCCGGTGTGCAGAGGGTCCGAGAGGTGAGGCAGGCAGGGCAGAGACACAGGCTGGCCTACAACCTTGGAACAACGGGAGAGGTCACAGGACAGGGCCTCAGGCAAGACCGGAGGCCGAGGTCATTAGGGAGGTGGGCCCAGAGTCCTGGCATGGGCCCCCCTGTCCAGGGCAGGCCCCCACCTTCAAACCCAGCCCGCTCAGCGTGGGCCCGAGGGAAGGAGGGATGTACTTGCAGGTGCTGCTCTCCTGCCCTTCACTGCAGCGCCCTTGGGGCATGAGGGAGGGGCTACTGGTCCCCAACAGCCTTCTCTGCTTACCGCCTCTCTCCTGCCCTTCACTAGCTGCCTGGTGCACGGTGGGCCGAGACTGACCTGCTCCCCAACGCCCTGCGGACGAGCCTGGCTCCCTCCCTCTCTTCTTACACAGGTCGCCCCCTCTTTTCTAGAAACTTTGGTACATGAGCGGTCTTTTCCACATACTTCCAAACAAGAATGTTTGAAGTGAAGGCGAACCCCCTTCCCTGGTATCCTCACCCCCTCACTGCACCGGCCTTCTCTGGCCACACCCCTCCCTCCGCCTCTTCTGCTCCTGGTCTACATTCCTCTACCTGGTAGGAGTCAACACCCTGTAGTGCCCAACCTAGGCCTGTGCCCAGTCTGCACACGGCAGTAGCGCCCACACAGCCAGTGCCACGCTAGGCCAACAGCCGCCGCTGGGATAAGCACAAAATAAACTCCCGTTGGGAACAGTCACGGGCTGTGCTTCTGCTTGTTTTCAGTGATAACAGCTGGGGGAGGGAAGCCGGTGGGATGCCGGGGCCCTCATTAGCCATGTCACCCTGAGCCTCCGTTTTCTTATCTGCAAAATAGAGGCACGAACCCTGTTTTAACAAATAAGGCTGTGCCTGGCACCAAGTCAGGGTCCTCTGGACCATCCCCAGTGCCAGCCGTTCACTAGGATTCATCGAAGCCACGGTCACAGATGATGGCAGCAAAGGGAAGCGGCAGGTGCAGAGCCCACACTATGTCCTCCCGGTGGCAGGCATAGAAAGTGCTTTCTCCCTCTCTCACGGTGACGCTTTACGGAGTATTGCCAACCAGGGATGCTCACGGAGCCGGGTGATGGGAGTTCATTGGGTCCAGCCCTTCGGGTAAACAGACGCTCCTATCAGGAAGGTCCAGAGCTGACCTCCCTGGAGCTGGGCACAAAGGCCAGTCCTTAGGGCACAGTTAATCATGCCCACCTGTCCATCAGCTCTTCCAGCAAGACAGGAGACCAAGGCCCTGGACGTGAGATAACAGTTAAGTCCTATTTTGGAACCTCTCTGACATCCCTGCTTCCATTTCCCTGTCCTGGTTATCAGGAAAGACTCATATACAATCTCAAGGCGCAAAGAAGGCAGAATGGAGAGCGGACAGGCGGGGGACAGACACTGAGAGCAGCAGAGGCCGAAGGAGGAGGAGGAGGAGGAGGAGGAGGAGGAGGAGGAGGAGGAGGAGGAGGAGGAGACGGGCCTTAACCTGGTAGCTGTGAGCTGGGCCCAGTGGGAGCCCTGGGGAGGTGGGACCAGGGATGTGCGTCTTCCCACCTCCTGCCCCAGCCGGGAGCAGCCAGCCTGTGAAATGTGCTGTGATTAAAGCCATCCCACTGGGCGAGGTCCCTGCCCACGCTGCCTCCTCTGGCTGCCTGGAACCCTGACACCCCTGCCACCTCCTCCTAAAGTTTGATGCTGACGGCTCACGCGATAGCAGTTACACAAAACGCAACATGGGCTTGTAGGAAGAGAGAAATGCTAATTCGGGTCCCAGCGGTGCATCTCTGAGCCAACTTTCCTTGCAACCAGCCTCTCAGAGCCTCTCTTCCTCATCTGCGAAGTGGGGAGAAGACCCCTGCTCTGCAGATGAGGAACTGCCTGGCTCATGATAAGGCCACTGCACTAGACCCTGCGGGCGGCATCGGCCCACCTCGCCCAGAAGCTGGGACTGTTCCAGTCAGACCAGCTATTTAAAAAGGACTATTCCCAGGAGGCTGAGGCTCTTGGGGGTGCAGCTGAGGAACGCTGCCAGCTGGGCATGTTCCACTTCCTCCACACATCACAGCGCCGCCCGAGCTCTCCCCACGTGGCAGCACCTCTGTGATCGCAGCCCACAAGCAACTCAGAGCCTCCTGGATTCCGAGTGGGTGGAAACAGGCTCTGAAGAGAACAAATTTCAACCCTAAAAGGTATGAGAGCTCCCACTTAATTTACACATCGGAGTCAGGCACTTGGGAGGCAGGGACTCCCTCAGAGCTGCCTTTGCCATCCTATGATCAGCAGGTGAGAACACGGAGACAGAGAGGGCAAGCCACTCACCAGAGGTCACACAGCAGGTAAATTCAAACCCAGAGCTATCTTCCTCCAATCAGGTTTCCACACCCCTGCACCACATAACATGGACATGTGGGGACAAACAGCTCAGATGAGCACGTTAAAATCCCAGACCGCTTCCCCAAACAACGACCATATGACCCAGCAGGTCCGCTCCTGGGTATGTCTGTATGTACGGTACCCGAGAGAATCAAAAAGACGCATTAAAGCAAATGTGCACAAGTGTTCCTGGCGGCACCGTTCCCAACAGCCAAAAGGTGGCAACAACCCGCAGGCCGACAACTGCAGGAGGAGAAACAGATGGTGCTCGATCCGCATCATGGATACTATTCCGCCAGGAAAAGGCAGGCAGCTGACACGCTGCAGCATAGATAAGCCTTGGAAACATTCTAAGTGAAAGGAACCGGACACAATGACCACACGTGTGCGATCCCATTCATACAAAATGTCTAGAAAATAAACCGGCAGAAACAGACTTGGTTGCAGGGGCTGGGGGAGGAGGAAGCAGGGCGTGTCTGTGAATGGGCGCGTGGCTTCTTTGGCTGCTGGAGATGTTTTGGGACTAGACCCAGGCGGTGGTCACACAGTGCTGTGGATGTACTAATGCCACTGGGTGGTACACTAAAGCGGCTAATTCTGCGTTACACAGATCTCATCCCAAGTAACAAAAGAAATCCCAATCACCTGCCCAAACAGAGAAGCTCACCACCTGCATTCAGTGGCCACTCCGCACCCTTCCCACACCAGGTCAAACCCCTAACCTTCCTCCGGAGGCACGAGGCAATCCTGGGTGGGAGGTGGGCAACCCGGGTGCTCGGGCCAGCAGCACCCCAGGCTGTGTCCCTGCGCAGGTCCCTGGGGCACCTGGGTCAGCAGAAAGGTGCTTCCCCAGGAGCCTCGGAGCCCCTGCAGCCCATGCTGTTCCGAGGGAACTAGCCACCTAGCCCAGTGGTCGTCAAACTCATTGTCAACAGAGCCAAATATCAACAGTACAATAGAAATTTCTTTTGAGAGACAAATTTTTTTAAACTTAAATTTCTTCTGACGCCACTTCTTCAAAATAGACTCGCCCAGGTCGTGGTATTTTGTGGAAGAGCCACACTCAAGGGGCCAAAGCTGCATATGGCTCGCGAGCCGCAATTTACTGACTACGGACCTAGACTACAAAACGCCCCTTGACCATGTTGACATTGGTTATGAGACACGGAGGCCTCTCCACTCCAGCACAGGTGTGACCACTGACCAGGAACGTGTGATAGCCAGGCTCTGTGCCATGGGATTTGCAGGCATGTCCCAGCTCCCCCTCATGGCCGCATTGGGCAGGTGTCAGAGGAGAATGAAGAGGACCTCAACCAAGGTGCCGGAAGGAAGACGGGAAGAGGGGGGCTCTCACCGGGGACTGAGGAAGGATGCCCAGGCTAAGGAAGGGGGACAGGCCTGGGAAGGGGCAGGCAGGCAGGCAGCTCAGGTCCTGGGCTCGGATCCCATGCGTGAAATCCAAGGATGTCCCTTCAGCCCTTCCTTCATCTGGCAGATGTTGGAAACCACTTAGTATTGGAGCAGGACAGCCCGCGGGAGAGCACATACCTTCCTTTCCTGGGCCCGACATCAGGGGGGACATCCCAGCGTGCATTTCTTTGACTGCAGTGTGTTTTTGCATTATGATGGCTGACTTGAGACTCCATTCTATGAGGATCACATCTGTACCTGCCACAGAAGGAGAAACGATTGTCCCCAGTGGTGATGTTTGTCAGCCCTTATACAGCATCACCTCATCTCTTTGTAGCATTTAATGTCCGTCCACTTCCTTCTTGATGTGCTTTCCTGCTTTTGAGTGAACTTGGTGTCCTCATGTTTCCCCTTTTCCTTGGCTGCCAGGAAACTCCATGTTTACTTGCCAATGCCAACGTAGGTTTTCTGGAAATAAAACTATTGTTTGGCTTCCCCCCTAGCTGCTGTAGATACAATATCACCTTTAAGCCCACATTGCATCATATACAATAAGCATGTTCCATTTTGCTGGTGGAGAAACTGATTCTTCCCAAATTTTGAGATATCCAATGTTTAAAACTTAGTAGTCTAACTTCAAAGCCAATTCGTACACTGACACAACCCTTCCCGATCCTGCTTTGATCTTCCCTGTGACTCTGTGAATGGCCCCAGCACAGCCCAGTGGTGTGGCCATTTAGGAAGGGTTATGGGTGCAACCAGTAAGCAACTGGCCATCTATCCTCACTGCCAGCACTGGGAGGGGAAACTACTTTAAGCAGTTCTGCCCTGACACGTGTCCTTGTCCAGGAGGCCACGGAGGCCAGTGAATACAGACTGTGGCAGGGGAGGTGTGATGGGCACAGGGTCCTGTGTCCCCGAGGCGCCCTGGGTCAGAGCCTCCACCAGCAGCCAGAGTGGAGGAGGGCAGAGGGCCCATCCCTGCCCATGGGGTCAGGCACAGCAGTCCCCACCCCCTTGGCCATTCAAGGAGTGAAGTGGAGAGGAAGCAGATGAGGAAATTTAACTCTGTACCTTCAGGACAGGCAGCCTTGATTGTTCCAAGCCTCAGTCGCCTCACCTGTGAAATGGACAGGTTTGAAAACGTTATGCTAAGTCAAAGAAGCCGAACACAAAGGCCACAGAGTGCACGAGTCCGTTGCATGAGGTTACCAGGCAGAAATTCATGGAAATGGAGAAGATTTGTGGTTGCTGGGACTGGAGGGGTGTGTGTGGGGGGAGGCGGGGGTGGGGGGAGGCTGCTGACAGTGCAGGGTTTCTCAGGGGTGATGGATTGGAATTAGACATCAGTGATGGCAACACGACTCTGCGTCAATTAACACCCACTGAATTCTGTGCTTCCAAAGGGTGAATATTTTAGTACATGAATTATATCTCAAAAGAAATGAATGCAGGTGGACAAGCCGGAAAAACACAGAAAGCGGTTCAATCACCCCCACCCTCCCATGGTCATGTACACATTGCACCACTCAGAGAACCTACCCTGCAGGAGGGGTCCTGGCCGTCAGCCCCGCATGCTGGCTTCTGTCAGACGTCCCAGGGGAGGAGTGGCCTGAACCCAGCACCATGCTGGGCCCGTGCAGGGTCAGCACCTGGGGGAGCCGCTGACCTCCCCAGGCAGGCCCTCCGTCCCCATCCTCAGCCGCAGGTGTGACTCCTCCCTGCAGAGCTGGTCTGGCTCAGAAGGGAGCTATGAACAGACGGTCCACTTGTCTTCTAGGCCCTTCAGGTCCAGCCAGTGGAGGGAAGGGCTCCTCCCATCGGAGCGTGGGCCAGGGGCAAGGCTGTGTGATCAGCGCTGGGCTTGCATTGCCTTGGGCACCTCCCACCTTCCCTGTGCCCTGGCCGAGGACCAGCCTGAGCCCACCTCTGTGTCCAGCGGATGCCACCGGGAATCCCTTTTGGGGTTCTCTGTGTGCTACCTTCACCCCATGTATTTGATCCTGGTGCCCCCAAGGCAGGAATGCCTGGGCCTCAGCCCCCTGGGTTGAGTTGTGTACCCCAGAAATATTAAGTTCTATCCCTGGAACCTGTGAATGTGACCTTATTTGGAAATAGGATCTTTGCAAACCATGATTCAATAACTTAAGATGAATCAGGGTGGCCAGAATCCCATGACAGCATCCTTACAAGAGGAGGAAAATTTGGACCCAGACACAGAGGGAAGAAGGCCATGTAGAGAGGAAAGCAGAGAGAGAGGGGGATGCGTCTACAAGCCAAGGATTGCTGGCAACCACCGGAGCTGGAAGAGGCAGGAAGGATCCTCCCATGGAGCCTTCAGAGGGAGCGTGGCCCTGCCCACATCTTGACCTCTGGACTGTGAGAGAATAAATGCCTGCCATTCCAAGCCACCAGCCTGTGGCCATTGGTTAGGGCAGCCCCGGAGACTGAGGCACCCCCTCACCATGGACCAGAGACCCTCAGACAAGCAGAAGCGCAATGAGCACCGGAGCACGCAGAGGTACCAGGTTCTCCAGCATCTTTATGATGGGATTACATCAGTCTCATGGTGACCAGGGAGCCGCACCAGGGTGGCCCAGGGAAGCCCCTGCCTGCCCAGGTGGCCACCCTCACAGGAGCTCCAGGAGGGCTGCCACCGTGCTCTGCCCAAAGATGAAGGTGCCAACGAGCACGGACACCACTCCCCAGACCTCCAAGCAGCACCTGCCAAGTCAACAAACCTGCATCAGCACGCATGCCTCGGGAGTTTTGCACACAAAAGCCACGCACACAGAGAAAACATTATTTGAATCCCAGTAGAGTCATCGATTTGGGGGGGGAAAAAGTCCGGGTATCCCTCTCCTGCCTGGAGGAATGGGTTTCTGAAACAACAGGAAAGAAAGAGCCTGAGGCAATTTAAAAAAAAGAAAAAAAAGCTCTACCTGTCTGCTCATAACCTCAGTCCTGTTCAATTTTTTTTTATCAAAGTCACAGAAATAGGAGGAGGGAAGACACTAGTCTCAAACTCCCTGCCCATCTCTGTTCCTTTTGGGGTGGGAGGGACGAAGCCCCCCAAAATAAGGGAGATGAGGAAAGCCCCATGTCACACGGGATTGGAACAGTGGTGAGGGGATGAGCGTGCGGGAGGCAGAGGTGGCTAGAACTGGCCGCCACCAAGGCCACATCTCGAGCTTCATAATGTCACCAAAAGAGAGGCGAAACGACGAGATGAGAACGATGACAATAGACACCACACAATGGCAGGGCCGCCAGAGATATTTCTGGCCCCATAAACAGAGGCCACGAGGACCGTTGTCATGGAAAGACCATCTCTCGTCAAGCAGCATCTCAGAGAGCAATTTGGTGTCATAAACATGCACCCGTCAGAGCGGGGAGCGGGGTGATCGTGAGGGGCCGCAGCGCTCTCAGAGCGGCTCAGATGGATCAGAAGGCCCCACGCGGTCCCAGAATTAAAAATGCCGTGAAAGCCCATCACTAACCTATTGTGAGCTGGGACCGAGGCACAGAACAAAAGCAGCAGGACTTCAAAGTGCATTACAGGGAAGGGCCGTGCAGGGGCCACCAGACCATCGGGCCAGCCCTAAGCCCAGGCAGGTGTAGGCACATCCAGAAAAACCCTTCACCCAGAAGGAAACAGGCCGAGCTAGGCTTTACGACAGCCAAGCTTGGGCAGTGGGAGTCAGAGCCCCGGCCTGCAGGTGGGACCCAAGGCCATGGCTGCTATGACTTAAGAGTGTCTGAACTGGGCTGAGTGATGGTCCCCAAATTCACATCTACCCGGAACCTGTGAATGTGGCCTAGGGTCTTTGTCAGGAAGACCCTGAGTCCACATAAAGCTCCAACCACAGACCACAACCCTCAGAGCCGAAGGGAAAGATAACAGGCCATGTGCTGCTGGCCTGGGTTCGAGTCCTGGCTCAGACTCCCTCTCCCTGTGTGCACACGGCCCTACCCCCATGGCCAACAGTTTTCTCATCTGCAAGACGAGGGGTCTCCCCGGCCCCTGCAGCACTCACACTCTCCTCATTCAGGGCCCTTCCAATGCCCACGCTGCACCCTCCCTGGAGGACACTTACTTGACTCGTGGTCCTACGGGCTCGGTGCCGATGGCACAGATGAGGCACAGACCTGCAAAGAAGACGGGGTCCCCGGCTCTTCATTATGGAACCTAAAGCGGCCCTGAGCTCTCAGAACTCAGCCAACACCACAGGGACCCGAGAGGCCAGCTAAACCGCTGCTCAAGGCTCCCTGGCTCGCCCTGCTTGGGGCAAGGGGCACCGGGCAGTGGCTGAGGCCTCTGTGCGTCCCAGCTCAGCATCTCCCCGAAACCTGGGCCCCTGAGCCCCAGTCTCACAGACACTGACACACAGCTGCGGGCCAGCGTCCCTGTGAGATGTGCAGAGCCACACTCGGGCTGACGGCTGGGATGAGTTCAACAACTGGCAGCTTTTCCTTCCTTTTTCTCCCCGCACCCTCTCCAAATCATTCTGCTGGGATTTGAAGCCAGACAGCTCTGCCTAAAGCTCCATGGCATGTCCCCATCCCAAACCTGTCCCTGCCAGTCCTTCCCAACACCCAGCTAACGGCACCATCCAGGTCATGGGCACCAAGGCCGGCGCGTATATCTTTCAGACCACAAATGGGCACGAATGCGGCAACAGCTGGGCCGAAAGGCCAAGGGGCGGGCTGACCGCAGCCCTGTCATGGGAAAGCGCTTCCCGGAGGTGGGGCAGCCGGGCTGGGCTTCCGCCCGGAGACCGCAGCACCTCCAGGCTCCTCCTCGTAGGCAGACGGGCTTTCAGGGCGATGCAGTGTGGCCCGGAGGCCTTGGCCTCCACGGTTCACCCTCAGGACATTTTGAGGTTCACTAACATTGGGGAAGTTTCCTACGAAATTGTCAGAAACCGCCTTCCAGGTGAGAGGATAAGGCAAGACAAAGATTTCATGGGTGCCTTTGGGACTTATGAATGTCATGTCATTGAAAACATTTTTAAGAAATAAAACATGGTCCTGCAGCGGGTGGCAACAGTGGGAGGTGGCCTGGGGCCTGCTACATGCTCGCCATGCCACCGGGAGGCGCCCAGGCCTCAGTCCCATCTGCCGGTGGGAGTAATGGAGCCCCGTCAGGAGGTCAGGAGTGTCGGGCACAGAGGTGTTTAACGAGGGAAGGTCTAAAAGCCGGCAGCCCTTGCCTGGTTCGGAAACAGGGCTGGGAACCATCCTGTCTACACAGGGCTCCTGCCTCCAGACCCCGACCCCCAACACAGGGACTCCCTGCTGAGCAGGATTGAGGGTGTGGGGGTGAGACAACAAGCAGGCAGGAGGCCCGGGAAGCGGCCTCACCTGGGAAGATGAAGATGAAGAAGGAACTGATGCCGCCGATGATGCCGATGATCTCGCTGAGGTCCGGCAGGAACAGGGCCATGGCGAGCGTCACGGCGACCCACAGGACCGTCAGCAGCCCCGAGGGGTTGGCCAGGGCCCTGGGCCCACACGCCTGGCAGCAGCTCCTCCTCCAGAAATCCTGCATCACCGACCTGGAGGCCACGCCAGCACAGGCACGCACGGCTCCGGGCTCCAGCCCTCTCGCCTGCCTGCCTTCGGGGTCCCTAGAGGGCCCACCCATGCAGGCCCTGCACACCTGGCAGGGCTCCGGTTCCACACCAGGGGTAGCTACTCCCTGCGGTCAGTCTGTGTCAGGCAGCTGGCAGCGAGGGGCCATACAGTGGGTGGTCAGGGCCGGCTGGAGACCAGACTCCAATGCTGACGCTGCTCCCTGTTGATGCTGGGCCAGTGACTAATGACCTGACTCGTGTACTCCTCTACGGAGCAGAGATGACGCTGTCCCACAACACACCTGGCACGGCTAAACCGTGATCCGTATCAGTGCCCTGCGCTGAACACACCCACCCGAGCCAGCTCACCTCCCCAGGAAGAGCACAATGGGGTAGACGGTCACGATGGAGACGGCGAAGAGGACGCGGGCCACGATGATGACCCCGTCGTCACCCGGGTAGGACATCAGGATGTCGGCAGAGACTGCGGTCCCGAAGGTCAGGAAGCCATAAACGCCTGGGAGGGAGGGAGGGAGGGAGGTGGGGCAGGGAGCTGAGTCGAAAAGGCTGGGCCCCTCCCAACTCTGACATACCCACCGGCTTCTCCCAGCTGTAAGGCTTTTCCTAGGAGCCCACAGGAGGTTCTGGAAGAGTTCTCTGTTCTGCAGTTTCCCAAGGTGTTCCCGTCCTCAGCCTATGGGAGACTCTGTTCCTCTGACTCAAAACTCCCACTGGGCAAAACTACCGCGAACCCTTCTTCCAATGGCCCACCAGGGCCTGGTCGTAGAGTGGGTACTGCAGGGGCACACAGCGCTCTGACAATGGTGCCAGTGCCTTTCATGCCAGTCACCCCTCTCTGACAGCACCTACAGAAAGACACTGGCAGGGCACCCATTTTCCTGCTGGGGTGTCAACAACTGCCAGAGTCACACAGACCGCACAGAACTGGGTACAGGGCACCAGGCCCCTTGCCTGCAACCCAATGCTGCCTCTCACAGCCTAGTCACCTGCCCTGTCCTGAGACACCCATCTCTGGCTAACAGCTAAGTTTAACCCTAATCTCATGATCCTACTGGCCCTTGACCTGAGCCATCTGGATGGTGACCAGGTTATGGCACTTCTACGCAGGGGCCACAGCCTGACAGGGACCTCCCTTGCTTGGGGAGAGGTCGCCCAGCACGTTTTTTGAAGCCATGGTGTCCAAGGCCCCTGACACATTCTCTGCAGCCCCAGGGCTTCCCAAGTCAGAGGCCCCATCTCTGAAATGGGGACTTTCCTAGGGGGTGTTAAAGATTAAATGAGAGAAGGCACCCAAACTGCATAGCGCTGTGCTTTGCACACTGTAAGCTCTCTATAAATATTCGTCATTATTCCCATTTCTCCTGCCAATCCCTCCCCCGGTGCCCCAGGCAGGGCCTTACCTGTCAGCGAGTAGACGAGGCAGCAGGCCAGCAAGGACAGCACGGAGACCAGGGCCCAGTGGGACAGGCTCTGGTTGCGCATGCTGCAGTAGATGGAGACAGCAGCCTCATGGCACTGGAAGACAGGCGGGTGCAGTGGGTGGCTGGGCGTTAGACCCACCCAGCACCATCTCAGAAGTGCCAGTGTCCCAAAATACAGGAAACCACCAGCAGAAAAGGCTTACGTAAGTCACTAGATGGTCCTTTGGTGGAATATTACACGGCAATGTAAAAGGATGAACACACTATGCACCTCCACAAGAAAGGACCTCACGGCTTTGATGTTTTTGCAAAGGAAGCCAGACATGAAAGAACATTTTCCTGTGTGTGACGTTCGAAATACGAGCCAAACAGGGGCCCTCCTGGGCATGTGGGATATTGAGCAGCATCCCTGACCTTGACCCACTAGATGCCAGGAACATCTGTCCCCAGTGTTATAACCAAAAATGTCTCCAGACAGGGCCAGGTTTCCATGGGGGCGGGCACATCACCCCCATTGAGAACCACCACTTAGGAACAGTGGTGTGGGTGGGGTGGAAGTCATTCGGTGGAAAATGTCTCCAGGGAGCCTTCCATAGGAGCTGGCAATGTTCTCTATCCTGATTGGGGGGAGCCGGGGGGGGGGGGGGGCGCTACACAGGAGCATACATATTTATGATTCGTGTATATCATAGTATGATTATAGCATCATACAGTTAACATAAAATACCTCTAGCCCATGCCAAGAGCCCAGCTGGGCCGGGGCGTTGTTTCCCGGGACAGCCCTGGGCAGGGTATCTTACCGGCACCAGGAGGCCCTGAGGTGCAGGCAGGGCTGAGAGGTGCTGTAGTGTCTGGATGTTCCCTGGGGGTTTGGGATCGTCCCAGGCTCCTGAGGGGTCAGGGCTCCCACTGTCATGTCACACACTCACTCACTTCTGACCAAAACCAAGCATGATCTACTCCTGCCCACTCTCCAGGCTCGGGCCACCCTCTCACTCACTGAGCAAGGCCCACCTGTCCTGCATGGCCGCAGGGCCTTTTCTCCAGCGTCTCCTCTCCCTGGGATCCTCTCCTGGCCTGGCAGCCAGGCCACGTTCCTCTCTCATGAGTTCCCACATCTCCCCACACCCCCGCCAGCCAAGTTCCTCTCTCATGTGTTTCCCCCCGCCTAACCTCCCTATGTAAGCAAGTTTGGTTTTGCTTATTCAGCATCTACCATCAGCTCCCTGGAATCCAGGACCATGTCTGTCTTGTTCAAGCCAAGCAGGGAGCCTGGCCCCCGCTGAGGGATGCTCCAGGGGTTACTCGCTTACCCATCCCTTTAAGTAACCTGCCCGGCAACAGGGAGGCAAGCTCTCCGGGACTCAGATCTTACAGTCTGACTCAGTGCAAGTCTGGGTACCACAGAAACTAGCCCAGTGAGCTCGCATGTACCTTCTAGGACAGACTAGCCTCCGAGCACAGTGCATCTTCGGCTTTCTTTCCCGGGACTCCTCTGACTTCACAGGAGCCCCCAATTCCTGGGGACCCTCAACTCTGTGGATCAATGCTCCCCCCTCCTGCCTCCCAAACTCAGAAACAGGGAAAATGCTTGGCGGGGTCTGGATGAGCCCTGACCTTCCTTCTCTGTTTGTCCCAAGATTCCTGGGTCATGGTTTCACAGGGAAGCTACAGCAGGTCCCCCGGGATGGGGAGGGGAGGCTGCCCTGCGCACACCTGTGAGAGGGGCTGGCTGTGCGCAGGCTCGCCACTC